GCTGCTGCTGTTATTGTTGTTGTTGTCGTTGTTGTTGTCGTTGTTGTTGTTGCTGTTGTTGTTATTGTTGTTGTTGTTGTTGTTGTTGTTGTTGTTGTTGTTGTTGTTGTTGTAGTTGTTGTTGTTGTTGTTGTTGTTGTTGTTGTTGTTGTTGTTGTTGTTGCTGTTATGTGTTTTGTTTTGTTTTTCCTTCCCTCACCATCCGATGTTTCGTGTTTTTTTATCCGTTACGTCGGATCTCAGGGTACGCCTTCCTGGCCAATCCCAGGTCAGGAGAGCGTTTCCACCGATCCTCGGCCCAGGATGAGCCTGGCCAGGATCGGTGTAGGAGGAGGAGGAGGAGGAGGAGGCGGAGGAGGAGGTGGAGGAGGAGGAGGAGGAGGAGGAGGAGAGGGAGGAGAGGAGGGGAGAGGAGGAGGAGGGGAGGAGGAGGACGCTCGTCAGTCTGTTGAGTCTGTTGAGGAGGAGGAGGAGGCGGAGGAGGAGGAGGAGGAGGAGGAGGAGGAGGTGGAGGAGGAGGAGGTGGAGGAGGAGGAGGAGGAGGAGGTGGAGGTGGAGGAGGAGGAGGAGGTGTATACTTGGTGGCACCTTCCTCGCAGCGCGGGGGTGGCGGCCTCCCGGGCAGGCAAAAGGGGGCTTCCTGGGAGCGCTCCTGCCTCCCAAGAGGCCTCTGCAGGAGGCCTCCGGCTCCCTCTGGGAGCCCCACCCAGTCGGGGGCAATGCTCGGGGGGGAGTACAGGGCTCATTTCGATCTCCTCCGATTCGATTCGATTCGACTTCGATGGAGTCCTCCTGCCTCCCAAGAGGCCTCTGCAGGAGGCCTCCGGCCCCCTCTGGGAGCCCCACCCTGTCGGGGGCAATGCTCGGGGGGGATACTCCAGATTTCGTAATAAAAGGGAGGGGGTCTGGACCCTCCAAGACAGGCCATTTCAGACCTCCCCCGTGGGAGAACCCTCCAAAACACCGTCCCCAGACCCCCCAGGCCCTCCAAGATAGCCTGGAAGAGACCCCCCCCCCCGAAATGAGACCCCCCTCCCTTTCTTACGCAATCTGGAGTACAGGGCTCATTTCGATCTCCTCCGATTCGATTCGATTCGACTTCGGTGGAGTCCAAGTGGCCCATCCGTCGCCGATGGTGGCCCGACGACCCGCTCCGCCCAGGAGCCTGCAGTTTCGTCGTCGATTTTTTCTCGGTAGTGCATCTCCGATTCCGGCTCGACGTTCTCCCCCCCTTCCCCCTTCCCCCCCCCCCCGAGGCTGGACCCCCCGCTAGCGTTGCCCCTCAGCTTCCTGGGAACGCTCCTGTCTTCCAAGACGGCTCCGCGGGAGGCCCCGGCCCCCCTCTGGGAGCCCCCCCCCTTTCTGCTGTAGGGAGAGGGGACGATGGCCAGGAACGAGGCTGCACGCGGAAACGTCGGGGTCGATTTTGGTCATCGCCCATCCTGGTCATCGTCCATTCGTGGATCATCCCCGCGGATTGGCGACATCCGGGCATGGAGCATCCTTGAGATCCGTCGACTCGAAAAATCTGAGACATCGTGGAAAAATCTGACCATTCCTGGACCCCACCTTCCTGCGCCACTCTTCGAGCCAGGTCGATCCGTGAGGGTCACGGGGCCCTGAGCTGGGCGGAAACGCCCGGCTCGAGGAAACCGAGACGCCAGGATCTCAGGGATGATTAAGATCGGCGTCGACAAGATCCCGTGGCACCTTGGTCACGGCCACTCGGTTTCGCCTCTCGGCCTGCCGCGGCTCCTCCGGGGGGCCGCCTCCCCCGTTCGCCCTGGCGCCCCCCCCCCCCTGGCGCGCCGCCACTGGGCCAAGGTCTCGCGGAGCTCGTGCTGGCGCTCGCCTTCTTCTCGAGTGGGGGATCGATTGCAGAATCGATCTACCCTACCCCAAACTCTATTGTTACCCGTCGAATCTACGACGAAAGCGTAGTTCCCCAATGAGAGCTTGCGTCTGTGGGGGTCCCAGCGGCTTCATATGGTTAGGTGAGATGTGGTGTTGATTTCGGCGGTACGGGTGCCCGGGTGCCCGTGTGCCCGGGTGCCCTGGTGCCTGGGTGCCAGGTAGCCCTACGCTTTAGAACCCTATAGCCTTATAGCCCTATAGCCCAATAGCCCTGTAGCATTATAGCCCTATAAACCTATAGCCTTATAGCCTTAGTGCCCTTCAGCCCTTCAGCCCTATAGGGTTATAGCCCCATAGGCCTATAACCCTATAGCTCTATATGACTATAGCCCTATAGCCCCATAGCCCTGTAGCCCTATAGCCCTATAGACCTACAGCCCTATGGTCCTATAGCCCTCTAGTCCCATATTTCTATAGCCTTAAACATTATTCTGATTTGGTTTTCTCCAGTATCATTTTTTCGCAAATCTGCCGAGCAGTCTAAGTATTTGCCCGTAGATTCGACGAGAAAACGAATCTCGGGGTACATCTTCTGCTCAGTCTTCGTTCCCCTAACCTCGATCTTTGTCCCCCGTAGATTCTGTAGACGATCCCCTGCTCGATCTTCGTTCCCCTGGGCGCGTGCACCGCGGTGGCCTCGTGCTGGGCCCGCGCCCTGGTGGCGGAGGAGGGCTGGCGGCGCGCGGACGCGGCCATGTACGCCGGCATGGCGTGCGTGACCGGGTGCTCGGGCCGGACGAGAGCCGAGGTCCCCGACGACGTGCGTCTTCCAGTCGAGCTCTGGGAGCCAGAGGGGGGAGAAGGTACCCGTGCCGCTGCCCTTCACTGCTTTCCTCTTCGCTTCCTGGGAGGCCCTCGTCGCCACCGCTGGCTTCGCCTCGGAATCCTGGCCCAGGGAGTAGCGGTATTGGGACCATTTGGTTTTCCCCGTCGAGCTCGGAGCGTGCTTCGTCACCCGAGTTTTTTTTGTTGTTGTTTTGGTTTTTGTTTTTTCTTACCCCTTCTCTCCTTTTTCGTCCCAACTCTCCTGTGGTGTTTTGGATCCTCGTTTTGAAGGGACAACGCCCCGCGTCTCCTCTCCTCCCCTCTCCTCGCCTCTCCTCTCATCTCCTCCTTCCTCCTCCCTCTCCTCCTCCCATCTCTGCCTCTGCCTCCGCACCCAGTGCAGCGTTTTGTGGCCCCAGAGGGAGCTCCAGCGAAGGCCCCAGTGGCTGTGACCACATGCGTCCCGCGCCACCCAGTGCTGCGCTTCGTGGCTCCATAGGGAGCTCCACCCGAGGCCCCAGTGGCTGTGACCACATGCGTCCCGCGCCACCCAGTACGGCGTTCCGTGGGCCCACGGGGAGCTCCACCGAATGCCCCACTGGCTGTGCTCACACGCGTCCGCGCCACTCAGCACAGCTTTTCTTGGCCTGGTAGGGAGCTCCACCGAATGCCCCGGTGGCTGTAACCACATGCGTCTCCGCCCGCCCATTTCGGCACACCCCTCCCGCGCTTGGTGGCCCATACGGAGCTCCACCGAAGGGGCGGCGTTCGCCTGCGTTCCACCCGCCCGTTTCGACATACCCGTCACGTATTTCGTGGCCCCATAGGGAGCTCCACCGAAGGCCCCAGTGGCGACGCTCGCATGGCGGCCCCGCTCCATTTCGGCACACCCCTCACACGTTTCGTGGTCCCATATGGAGTGCCACCGAAGGCCCCAATGGCTGCGCCCGCATGCGTCCCTGCCACATTTCGGCACACCCTTTGCACGCTTCGTGGCCCCATAAGGAAATTTACTAAAACGATACTTACAGAGGCGACATTCACAACTGCATACGGTTGGGCCCCTTCGCCAGGACACATTTGGTTTGAGTTTTTTGTTGGTTTGTTTTCGTTGTGCCTAATTTGGCCCCGAAGCGTTCCTCGGCTGCCCCGACTGCGTCTTGGTTCCGAGTCGCCGTGACCATCACTTTTTCCCAATCATCCTGTGGTGTTGTGTGGTCCTTGTTTTGAAGAGACAGCGCCCCTCCTCTCCTCTCCTCTCCTCTCCTCTCCTCTCCTCTCTCCTCTCTCCTCTCCTCTCCTCTCCTCCCTCCTCTCCTCCTATCCTCACCTCCCCTCCCTCTCCCTCCCCTCTCCCATCCTCTCCTCTCCTCTCCCTCCTCTCCCCTCCCCTCCATCCCTCCCCTCCCCTCCCTCTCTCCTCCTCCTCTCTCTCTCTCCTCTCTCCTCCTCTCCTCCCCCCTCCCCTCCCCCTCCCCTCCCTCCTCTCCTCTCCTCTCCTCTCCCTCTCTCCGCGCCTCGCCTCGCCTCGCCTCGCCTCTCCTCCCCTCCCCTCCCCTCCCCTCCCCTCTCTCCTCTCTCGTCTCCTCTCTTCTCTCTCTCTCTCCTCTCTTCTCTCTCTCTCCTCTCCTCTCCCTCTCTCTCCTCTCCCTCTCCTCTCCTCTCCTCTCCCTCTCTCCTCTCCTCTCCTCTCCTCTCCTCTCCTCCCTCTCCTCTCCTCTCCTCTCCTCTCCTCTCCTCTCCTCTCCTCTCTCTCCTCTCCTCTCCTCCTCTCCTCTCCTCTCCTCTCCTCTCCTCTCTCCTCTCCCTCTCCTCTCCTCTCCTCTCCTCTCCTCTCCTCTCCTCTCCTCTCCTCTCCTCTCCTCCTCCTCCTCTCCTCCTCTCCTCTCCTCCTCTCCGCTCCCCTCCTCTCCTCCCTCCCCTCCCCTCCCCTCCCCGCTCCTCTTCCTCTCCCCTCCCCTCCCTCCTCCCATCCTTGCCTCTGCCCTCTGCCTCTGCCTCTGCATGTCCCGCGCCACCCAGTACGGCGTTTCGTGGCCCCATCTGGAGTGGAGTTCCATCGAAGGCCCCAGTGGCTGTGAGCACATGCGTCCCGCGCCACCCAGTGCTGCGCTTCGTGGCCCCACTGGGAGCTCCACCGAAGGCTCCAGTGGCTGTGACCACATGCGTTCCGTGCCACTCAGTACGGCGCCTCGTCGCCCCAAAGGGAGCTCCAGCTATTGTACCAGTGGCTGTGACCACATGCGTCCTTCGCCACCCAGTACAGTGTTCCGTGGCGGGCTCCACCGACTGCCCCACTGGCTGTGATCACATGCGTCCGCGCCACCGAGAACGGCGCTTCGTGGCCCCATAGGGTGCTGCACCGAAGGTCCCATTGGCTGTGATCACATGCGTCTCCCTTCGCCCATTTCGGCACACCCCTCACTCGCTTCGTGTCCGCATGCGGAGCTCCACCGAAGGCCCCAGTGGCGACGTTCGCAAGCGTCAGCCTTTCCATTCTGGCATGCACCTCACGCGTTTCGTGGCCCCCCATAGGGAGCTCCGACGGCCCTAGTGGCGACGTTCGCACGGCGGCCCCGCTCCAGTTCGGCACACCCCTCACACGTTTCGTGGCCCCACATGGAGCGCCACCGAAGGCCCCAATGGCTGCGCCCGCGTGCGTCCCCGCCCCATGTCGGCACGCCCTTTACACGCTCCGTGGCCCCATGAGGAGACCAACCGAGGGCGCTGCCCACAACGGCGATGCTCACAACCACATCTTGTTGGGCCCCTCGCCAGGCTTATCTTTCAAGCCAGACGTTCTTCCTCGACTGCGGCCTCTGGGCCCCCTTTTCTGGCCCCAGAGCGGTCGAGCACCGCTGCGGGGCGAAGAGCTGGCCCGGTGAACGGGTCGGAGCCTTCCCGGGGCCGCGGCTGGAAAGAATCACACAGCGCCAGATGTCTGGGAGTGCCAGTCGAGACAATAGCAGGCGCAGCTCGAAAAGCATGGTGTGTGTGGACCCTGGGATCAAGTCGGGCACGTCCCTCTACAGGAGGAATATTCAGAAGTAGTCCAAAAAGGGACGTTTTTGTTTGTTTTTGTTGTGGTATTTTGGGGGAATTGACCATGTTTCGTCCGAAATCCGCCTGCAGGAGGACATGCCCGACCTAAAACTACTGTGTTTGGATCCTGGGAGGGGTCAGGGGGCCGGTTCTGAGCTGCCGTTGGCTCAGCTCGCCTTGCTCCGACGCTCTGGTCGGATGAAAGGGGGTGATCTGGAAGGAGGAGGAGGAGGAGGAGAATGAGGGGGACGAGGAAGAGGAGGAGGAGGAGGAGGAGGAGGAGGAGGAGGAGGAGGAGGAGGAGGGAGGAGGAGGAGGAGGAGGAGGAGGAGGAGGAGGAGGAGGAGGAGGAAGGAGGAGGAGGAGGAGGAGGAGGAGGAGGAGGAGGAGGAGGAGGAGGAGAGGAGGAGGAGGAGGGGAGGAGGAGGAGGAGGAGGAGGAGGAGTAGGAGGAGGAGGAGGAGGAGGAGGAGGGGAAGGGGGAGGAGGAGGAGGAGGAGGAGGAGGAGGAGGAGGAGGCGGAGGAGGAGGAGGAGGCGGAGGAGGAGGCGGATGAGGAAGAAGGGGGGGGTGCGAAGCCTCCTGCGTGCAGCTTGCTTCAGCCCCGCCGCTGGGCGCCCTGCCCCGGTACACCGGCGCCTTCTGGCGCCAGGGGGCGCCGGGGATCTCGTCCGCGTCAGCCGGTTCGCTAACCGCAATACCCCCTTTGGTTAGCCTCCCCTTTCTCGTCCGACCTGAGGTGCGTGGCCGGACTCGTTGGCATCGGTGGTGGCCTGATTTTCTCCCCGTTCTTTCTGCTGATGGGGCTAGAGCCGTCCGTCGCTGTGGCCACATCTTCGACCTGTGTGATATTCACCTCGTCTTCTACGACGCTTCAGTACCTGCTGACCGATCGAATTATCGTTTCTCTCAGCCTTTTGTATGGCTTCACGAACCTGAAGGCGTCTTTTGTTGGCACAAGCTTTGTGCACTATCTCCAGGACGTGCATGGCGCAAAGAAGTCATTTATTTCCATGATCGTCGCGGCGGGTGTGTTGATAAGCACAGCCTTGTCAGTACTGAGGCTGATAGAGGGCATACAGGATGGCTTCCAGGTGGACATCCACTGACCCAGCAGCTGTCTGGCGATGACCAGTGTCATCATGATGAAATATCCTCACTGCCGCCGCCGTCTCCACATGTTGGGTTATTGTTTGTCTCATGGGGTAGAGTGAACCAAAGGCATCCTAAACAGCGTCGGTAACGTAGAAGGTACCGCATCACCAATATCATGTAAGACATCATTACCGAGCGCTGTGTCGACATCATGGGTCCAACATCCGTTTCAACGATATTTCGGTGGACGAAATCGTAATTAAATAGTACTCTATGTGATTCTCTGCCTGGCATGTAATGTGTCAGGCAAACAGGCCAGCTGCTTACGCATTATGTCGCGGTTGAACGCTGTTGGGCATGCTTATGAAGTTGCAGTGGCCCGTCCATGGTGGTCTCCTGCACAGGCGCAGTCATGTTAGTTTTTTGTTTGCTTCAGCCATGCAGCGCCGTGCTCCTTGAGGTTCCCAAATCGGCACGGAGAGATTCTAGAGGGGCCGAGCCTCGCAGCAGCGCTGACAACTGCACACACGCACGCACACACACACACAGATATATGTATATATGTACATCTATATATATATAGACACGTGTATGCACACGTGGGCAGCCCACCCCAGCACCCATTTCATCGTTCTCTTTTTCTTGTGACCGTGTTCTTCTCGCCCCTTCCTTGCCTTCTCCTTTTGTTCTTCCTTTTCTTTCGGAATTACTTTCCCTTTCCTTATTTCTCTCTTTTTTTTTTCTCTCTCTTCCGTGGTTATCATTTCCCTGATTCGATGTCTTTGCCAACGTGGACCCGACACAGTGTGTTCATAGCTACATGTGTTGTGCAATATATGCGAAACAATGTATGTAGTGTAGCAGATGTGGTGCAACCTATGTGGTGTAGTTGACTATGAAAAGCTTGGAGTTGCCAACTCCACTGCTCGCGCAATCATCCCACACACCCACCCGCAACTTGGTTTGCAAAACCAATGCGGCGGCGATTGCGATGAGTGCTTTGTGTCGGGTAGTGCATCCCTGCGGCCGCGGTAGTCCGTGCATGCTCGTGCGCACAACGCCCAGCTAGTTTGGCCCGACGCGATCGACGTGGCCGCGTCGGCGCTGACCGGTAGCACTTCCCAGCGGGCTTTTCAGTGCGCGTCGGTGACTTTGGCGGGCGCGGTACCATGTCGACGGCGACAACGGTAGACACGATGATGATAGTAGCGACGACAGTGGCGACGATGACGACGACGGCAATGCCAATGGTGGCGCCTATGCTGATCACGCCAATGACGATGACGATGTCCTCGCGTCGGTGATGAAGGTTTTGAGAAGAATTCGACATGCTCGCGCGGCCGACGCGCGCGAGTGGCCCGCATGGTGTTCCTTTGCTGGGATTGTGCCCCCTAACATGCGCGCAATGGCGTTCGAATTGCTACCGCCATGCGGCGCGAGAGACCCGCGTGGTCGCATGTGATGAAAATTCAAAAGGCAGTTTTTCCTTTTTTAACATGAATTCGCAAGAACGCGTGCGTAGCGTTTTTGTGAACACCGATGTTGCAAAGTCAGGTGCTTTTCCCAAGTCAGGGCACTCGATGTTGACATCCTTACGAAGCCTCGGGTTTTTTGAAGGATTTCGGCATGCGCGCGCGACGACGCGCGCGTGTGCGCTTCGCTTCGTTCTCTGCAGCGGATTCTTGTGACAGCACGCGCGCACGGGCGTTCGGACGATTTGGACATGCGCGCGCGAGGGGCACGTTTGGTAGCGTTTGATGAGCATGTCGTAAAACCCATGGTTGTTTTGTTATACATTCGCTAGGGCGCGACCGTAGGTTTTCTTGTTTGGTTGCAGCTTTTTGTTGTGGAACTATTGTCTGTTGTGTGTGCGTGTTTTTTTGGGGGGCGCTCGAGTGACCGACTTTGTGTTTTTTTCAAGGATGCCGGCATGCGCGTGCGACGACGCGCGTGTGTGCACATTGTCCCGTTGTTTGTTGTTGTTTTGTTGTCTCGTCGTCCTTGTCACGTCAGATGATCTGTGAGAACATCTGATTTGTGATATGGTTTGTGCCCGTCCCCACCAGCAAACGCGCAATAGCGTTCGAATGGTTACGACATGAGCGCGCGAGAGGCCTTTTAGGTCGCATTTGGTATCTGTTGAAAAAACCATGGGTCTTTTTGTTGGAGAATTCGCAAGGGCGCGCGCAGATTTTCTTATGCATAAGCAAACGCATCGCGAAACCATGTTCTTTATATGTTTTCGGGACACACGACTTTGGAATCATTACGAAACTTCCGGTTTTTGGAGGATTTTGGCATGGGCTCGCGACGACGCGCGCGTGTGCAATTCGTCATTGTTTTGCAAATGGGGTTTTCAAAAGTAATGGTTTTTGATATACCAGGGTGCGCGCATAGTGTTCTTGGCAGGGGATGGTGGTTTCCAAAGTTGGGAGGCGGGTTCCGGTTGATCTGTTCTTGACACGCTGCAATGTGCGGTCGTTGACCTTTTGCAGCCTGAGGTCTGACTTGATGCCCCCCTCGCTACAAGGGCTGTGCGCATCTCGGGTCTGTCAATATCATGCTCCATCCATGTGGTAGTACATGCTGGAAGTATATCGTGCTTTGTGACATGCGCGCTAGCCATGTGTACGCAGACAAGCAATACGTCAAAGTCGCTTGGTTGCAGTCGTGCTTCTAAGGTCCGTCCCCTGAGGCGTGCTGCTGGTGGTGGAACCACATCGTGCAGCGCGCTCTGTCTGTACAATGTCGGCCAGAGTATTGAGACTTCACAGCTGGTGCTCAGCATCTTCGTTTCCTCTTGCAAGCCCCAGTGGCTTCCCGTGCCCCTGTCTAACCACCCCCTCCACCTGCCCATTCTGCTTAGTCCCAGCTAGCAGCAACACGTGTAAGCAGACGAGCACGAGGAGCGGAACGCGGCCACGCGTCGTAGTTCCTCCTCCTCCTCCTCCTCCTCCTCCTCCTCCTCCTCCTCCTCCTCCTCCTCCTCCTCCTCCTCTGTCTTCCTCCTTCTCTTTCTCCTCCTCCTCCTCCTCCTCCTCCTCCTCCTCCTCCTCCTCTCTTAAGCTCGTAGCTGATGTCCTCGTGTCATGGCGCCAACATCGCAGAGCGTATCTCGTTCGGAAAACGATAGGTTGGGCCCGGGGTGTCCTGGAGAATTTCGTTCCCGATTTCGCAGTGAATTTCGTGCTTTTTTTGGCCAGGAATGAAGACCTATAATAATCCACGCGAAGTGAATTTCTTTTTTCGCTTGCCGCTTCGGGCAAACATCCACGCACAAATCCACGTAGAAGTCCGCTGCATCACGTCTGCAAGGCCGGTGCAATGACTTGTGTAGCTCGTGGCTGGCCCGCTCGGGGTTGTACACCGCCACTTGCATGCTCTGGCGCCTTTGTCAGTCGAGTGCACAGGACAGGGGCCCCTCCCCAGGAGACACCGGGGGTCGCTGCGGGCAGAGACTGAAAATGAGCCTCGTGTGTCTTTCCTGACCGACGGTCGCTTGTGCTAAATGCTTGGAAGGCGTCTAGGAGGAGGGGGAGGAGGAGGAGGAGGAGGAAGAGGAGGAGGAGGAGGAGGAGGAGGAGGAGGAGGAGGAGGAGGATGGGATGGGGGAATGGGGGAGGAGGGATGGGGGATGAGGAGGATGATGACGAGACCATCGCCCGCAGGCATCTCCACAATGTGAACAACCAACGCTCGGACCGCATGTCCATGGCCCACGGGGTGGAGGCGCCTGTCGTCCCTTTTTTTGGGAGCAAGGGCCGTGGGAGGGAGGGCGTGCGGGAGGAGGCGGGGGGGCGAGCGGGACCGCAGGAGCCAAGAGCAAACACCATGGTGTCCGACCACGAGCAGGGCAGCACCTCCGGGTATTCGGGGCCCCCCTCTGTGACCCCTCGGCCGCCACTCCAGCATGCCTCGAGAGGCGATCGCGGGGGGGCTTCCGAGGGGCGTCCAGCAGGGTCCGGGCCTCGCGATGGGAAATGCAGTCGTGTGGTTGTGCGCCCGCAGCCTCTTGCGGAAAGTGTGAGCCGAGGCTCCCTCGAGTTCCCGCGGGCCCTTACATGGCTCCGAATGCCTTCGCTGCATAGGCGTCGTGGCTTTCTGTCAGCAGCGTGGGGAGAAGCTGAGAGACGGCTCCTCAGGCGCCAGAGGAGGAGGATGGTGAAGAGGAGGAGGAGAAGGGGGAAAAGGACAGTTGTGGACTATGGTTCTGTTGACGATTGACGATACTGACGATGCTGACGACGAGCATGATGATGATCCTGCTGATCCTGCTGCTGCTGCTGATGATGATGATGAGGAGGAAGCGGAATAGGAGGACGATGGTGCTGATGGTCATGATGACGATGGTGATGCTGCTGCTGATGATGCTGCTTATGATGAGTGCAAGGTTGATGATGATGCTGGTGATGATGATTATGATGATGATGATGGTGATGCTGCTGCTGATGATGATAAGGACGACTCTGATGATGATGGCGATTCTGATGATGGTGCTGATGGTGATGTTGATGCTGCTGCTAATGATGATGAGTGCAATGATTATGATGCTGATGCTGATGATTATGATGTTGATGATGATGCTGACGATGATGATGATGATGACGATGATGATGATGATGATGATGATGCTGATGATGATGATGATGACGGCGATGCCGTTGGCGATGAAAATGACGACGCTGATGATGATGATTACGGTTCTTAACATGGTGCTGGTGATGCTGATGCTTCTGATGATGAAGACGATGAAGATGATGATGAGGATGATGACGGCGCCGATGACGCTGTGGGCCACGACGACGATGTCGCTTATTGTGATGATGATGTTGGTGGTGATGCTGCTGTTGTTGTCGACGACAACGATGGCGATGACGCTGACGACGATGATGCTGATGATGATGCTGATGACGATGGTGATGCTGATGCTGCTGATGATGATGATAATGATCTGCTGATGATGATGCTGATTCTGATGATGATGCAGATGCAGTTGCTTTCGATGATGGGGATC